CCCCAAAACCCCAAAACCCCAAAACCCCAAATAACTCAAATTTCATTGAAACTCTACATAATATTTTTCAACAATGGTGCCTTTCCAAGTTCAAAAAATCCCCCGAATTCTTAAATCCCCGATTAAATCTTGGCCGAGCACCAGATTTCAGATTTTGGTGCAGATTTTTCTGGTTTTAGTGGTAAGCCAGGTTTTGGGGTCAGAATACAAAATTTGTGAAGAAATTGGGTGATTTTGAGGCTGAAGTTTTAGGGAGTTTAGGGTAGACACTGTGGGAATGGGGTTTGTGAGGGATTTTGAGTGGTGTGGGAGATGAGTGATTTGGTTAAGCCTGAGCTCATTTTATTTGGATATAGTTGACGTATGTGAAATTTGTAAGAGCAGGTTGTGAAACCGATAAAGCCCAGCCGGAGATTGGGATATATGAAGATAATTACACAGGATCTCCATCTCACTATAAAGTGGCTAAGATGTCATATGCTGCTAATATGAGTGCTTTGTATATGTTTCAAAGCTTAAGTTCAGGCACTTTTAGAGTGAACAAATTTCATTCTACAAATCAAGAAATAATATGGAGCAAAAGTTATTCAATAGATTTTTCTGCTAATGCTGCCCAGTTCGGCCTGACCTGGGATGAAGCCCATTTGTATGCTATTGAAGACAACACCTCAAACAATACTATCTCTGTTATCCTGATGGATCCTGAGCATGGAGTAGTTACAGGAGCCTACCAACTGTAAGTTAACATCAATATTTGGAGAATTGCAAAGAATCTTATTTTTGGTTGACTTCAGCACTAAATTTCATTATTGTTTTCAAACAAAATTTTGAGATAGAGAGCGACTACAGTCATCTCTTGTTAGTTAGCACTGGAGAGGGTGGCATTTGAGCAAGATGGCTAGGATTCATCCCATTCTGACCCTCTTCTTTCTCTTTTATATAGAAATGAAGATGATGTAAAAGAAAGGATTTCTGATATTAACCTGACTTATCTTTTGAGTCAAGATTTTAGCAAGTCTGCTTAGGAATAGATATCAAAAGACATCCCTTCTTTTTATTCGAAATAGCTTAGTTTTATTAATAACTTTGATGCTCAGAGTTGAGATTCTGAGAAAAATCTTCAACACAAAGTGCAACTTATCTATTATCTTTGTATAAAACCCAATTAAAATGGATAACATAATTAGTATGAGAGACATTAACCCAAGAGGAGTCTATTGAATAATTCTTAGTACGATTTCTCTAAACTAAACTCATAAAATACGTCATCGCTGAATAAGACATCGGCAGCAATGGAATTGTTCTTATGCTGAAAATTTTCCTAATTAAGTCTGATAAATACTTACTAAAATTTAGGGATAATATCTCGGATGTGTCCCGATCAGACTCAAGTCCTCCATTCATCTATTTTGATGGAAAGAATGTTACTTCTGCCAAGAGAGTATTGTGAAAGTTTACCTTATATCTGAAGAGATTTAGATGTATGAATCTGACGACTGTTACAGGTCCTCTTTTGGATCTTACAGCTGTTTATCTGAACGAAGTTTTTATTGTTTTTGATCAAGGTATGTATCTGTATATGGCAAAGCTTACTCTTTTGGGTCGTCATGCTGTTGTTGATTGGGTTAAGAAGGATACTCCTACAGACGATTTATTCACAGTTTCTTCTGTTTATAGTAGGACTCATGAAACTATCTACATGTTTGTTCATGCAAATTCCACAAGAAAAGGCATTTTCAGGGCGATTTCTGCAAAAACAGGGAATATTTTTACTTCTACTATTCACGAGTAAGTCATTAATTTTAAGATCTTAGAACAAAGATTACGATCGATCCTCCCAACCTGATGGTTTTAGGGAACGGAAAAGTTCACCTCATCCTTAGAAATCATAAATATGAATGTGGTCACTTTCTCAACAACTCCACTACTCAAAATCTTTGTTGAAATTCTAACGTTAATGAATGCCCTATTCCATACATTTGAAAATACAACAAATGCAAAAGACATCCTGGATCATTATCATTCACTACAAGCTGTTCATGAGCCCCAAATTCTTGCCACATGTACGAAGGGGATGTCTGCGATCACAATAGAAAGAATTACAATCATACGATATAAATACTTATGACATTGCAACAAATAGCTTCAGCAATATCACAGCACTACCTCAGAACCAGAGCTTTGACTCCATTGTTTATGAGAAGAATGAAGACAGGTAAAAACTACTTCATGGGATCATAATAACTTCAATTTTTAGATTTGTACTAGCAGGAGTCATGAATCTCACAGATACAGGAAGCCCAGATACTAAAACAAGGTTATTCAAGATAAATCCAAGTAAGGATAGATCATAACCCATAGACTCTTTAGCATGTGACTACATATTTGAGTACTTTAACGAAACAGAACTAGTTAAGAATGCTTCCTCAGTTTATGCGACTCCTGGTAATATCCCCCATAATACGATTAAAAACTATGTCTTCATTAACAATGCAGCACGATCTAACCCTACAGTAACAGATGGCAACTTTTCTGTAAGATATTTTATGGGCGAATCTAACTAAAGTTATAGTGGAACCTCGTGAATAAGTCGCATATTTACTGCAAGACAGAGAATTTACCGACAATGGAATTTATAGAACTCACTAATGTAAGTTACAGTTTGGAAGGCTTTGCCTTCAGACGTAGTTTCCAGGAAATATCTTTTGTGAAATGGATATTTTTAAGATAAATGCTTAGCTTTTAGGAATTAAGCATCTCATCAAAATAAAATATCCAATTTTGGCTTGAATTGGAAATAATGTTTATTTGTTAAATTTTCTCCTGAAAATTTTAGATTTTAAGACTTTTATTTAGAAAACATTTACTGCTGGTGTCAGTTGAAGTAGTAACGGTTCGACTGAAATTACTTCAGTTAATATGACCTTTGTCAATCCTGCAAGTTTTCCTTCTGGCAGCATAAATTTTGATAATATAACACTTGAAGTGAACATGACTCTACCAGAAACTGATGACTCTGATATGTATGGACTAGTTTTTACAACTAAGCTTGTTGATAAAATTGATATCAAGCAGTATTTTAACATCAACGTGACAGACACTCCTCCTGAAGCTATACCAATACCGGAGCCTCCTCCTGTCCTTGCTATTGAAACAGCGGAACAAGCTTCTTTTTGGTCCAAGATAGTTATTTTTCTTGGATCTTTAGTCAATATGCTTAATTCAATGATGAGCTCTGCCTCATCAGCTGCCATCTGGCAAATGATGAACCAGATCCAGCTCTTGAAACTATTATTCCTAACTGGAGCCTACCTCCCACCTGAAACCAAAGAGTTCTTCAAGGGAATGGAGTTCATGTCGTTCAACTTCAGCTTCATCCCCTTTGAAAAACTTCCTGGGATTGGATACTCTATCAACTACATTGACTTTGAGCAAAGTTCGAAGGAACTCAGTGAGTTCGGACTCGAATCCGGAAGCTCCATAAATAACAACGTGTCCTTAGTTTTATTTCTGATTATGGTTATCATCTTCCATCTTATTTTGGCCTTGGTGGTAGCCATGTCAGCAGAAGAAGGAAACTGCTGAGTCAGGCTTTTCAATTGCATCACAGCCAAATTGATGAAGATGTTCACATTTACTATCTACATCAGAGCAATGTTTGAAGCATTTATTTTGCTGATAGTATCATGATTTTCTGAGCTTTATTCTATCAGCAGCCAAATGCCGAATTCTAAATTGATCTCACTGTTCTTATCCATTGCGATTATGATCGGTCTCTCAATTCTCATCGTGTTATTCATCAGAAATTTACGAAACACAGATCCTGAAGATAGAGAAGAAGGTCCTTACTGTGAACTATACTCTGGAGTCAAAGAGTCCAAGCTTGCGATGACCTTCAACTTGTTCTTCTTACTTAGGAGATTGCTGTTTGTGTTCGTGCTAGTTCTATTGCAAGCTCTACCTTTGGTGGTAAAGTTATCATTCATTATTACTCTTGAAATCTGCTACATTGGATTTGTGGTGAGCCTTAGTATTTAAACACTCAATATAGATTGTGTATATCAGACCATTTGGGAAAGTGGATTTAAACGTGGTGGAGCTTGCTAATGAACTGTACTTTTGCTTTTTCCTTTGAGTCCTCTTTTCAAAAAATCAGAGACAAGATTGGACAGTTTCCACTATCAAGATTTATCTTCATGTTTTAACTGCAAATAATTTTAGTATTATCGCAATATCCCTCAGTAAGTTTATCTAATTTCTTATTAAAAAATATGATAGGTTTCAAATTTGTGAGCATGATTAAGAGTCTAATCAAATCGCTCAAAAAGTGCAAGAGAAAACCCAAGCCCGAAGAGGATCAAGTATAATTTCTTTTACCATATAGACAAACAAAGAGCATATTGACCTTGACACTTTTGCTCAGAATCGCCCATCCACAATTTCAAACACTAGGCTACCTTCTTCAAAGGTACGGTTGTCTTCACCTTTAGTTGGGATCTTCTCCTCATTTTACAAGCGCTAAGAGTCACCAAAATTCAAGTAAGGATCTAATAACATGTTTAGCCGTTGGAACTAGCGATGTCAGACTTGGGCCCCATTTCTAAAACTGAATGACAATTATTTTAGATAGAGATTCAATCTAATTTGATACCTCTGGGGTTTTGGGGTTTTGGGGTTTTGGGGTTTTGGGG